TGACAACACAGAATGTCTGTCTCTTCACTGATTGGCTGGTGCCTGAACTCGCACTTCCGGGGGTTTTGCGAACCGTCTGGTGCAGACGTGTCAAACTTGGCCCACGATATCATTATATTTGGCCCATGAGATCAAATCAAACATGTATTAGAGCTGCCGACCGCACACAGACTATAGAGACATGATTTATTTAAAATGTTATTATTATTTCATATTCTGCTTGTTCTGGATTCAGTGTTTGAGCTAAACTTTTATTAAACATTTATTTGAATAAGAAAAGGTTTAACATTACATCAAGAAGAGAAAACATGCTTTTGGTCCCGGTCAAACAGAAGGAAACAACAAGGCCAAAACTTCAAGTTAATTCATCTGATATAAAACATGTATTGAACAGATACATATGTACTCGAGTTTATCAAACTGTTGACCTTTTTTCTGTACCATTTTTGGTTCTAAAGTTCCATCCGTTTTAAACAGACCATGAATGAAACATGGAACAAAAATTATTTCCCAAATTTCAAAGACCTAAAAATCATGTAAATAAATGTTTGTATTTCATCATATCTTGTGTTATTCCATCTTTGAACTGTTGATGAAGGGACAGGATTTAAAAAAATTGAAGTATTTAAAATGATAAAAATGTTCTTCGAAGGACTGACATATTTTATAGAAATTGTTTCTTTCATTTTGAAGTAATATTAAAGTTTTCAGAAGAAAAAAGCGACAAATGATGTAAAATCCTGCACCTTCTACTTGTTTGTACAATTTTCCCTCCGTTACTTTTCCCTCCGTTACCATGAACTTTCTTAATAAAAAATCTCATGAGTCAAAAAGTCAGAGGATTTTCAACCTAATCTTGTACCATATGGTAGAAAACTATATGAAGCAAATATTCAAACCAGTTTGTTAAGGATATGTAAGTGAGAACCAAGAGTTATCACTGTTTGGATTTATTGACCAAAAAGTGCTGCATATTTCATTCCCTCCGTTACCGACATGAGTTTTTAAATTTTTTGTCTTGAACTTGAAAGAATCTCACAGGTTTAACTTGACCCTGTTGGAGTGTAACTCTTTCCTACATTCTGATACTTTACTTTATTTCAATAGTTCCTCTAGTTTCTGAATAAGAGACATTTGAATGTCAAAATCTGCCCCTGTTTTTCCTCGTTAACACTTGACCAACCCAGATGGAAGTACTTTGTTTGTCCCGTGATTTACTCCCAGTTTTTTTTATTTTGTCCCTCTGTGAGTTTGAGTTTGACCCACTCGGCTCGTGTCACTCGGGTCGTGTCACTCGGCTCGTGTCACTCGGGTCGTGTCACTCGGCTCGTGTCACTCGGCTCGTGTCACTCGAGTCGTGTCACTCGGGTCGTGTCACTCGGCTCATGTCACTCTGGTCGCGTCACTCGGATCGTGTCACTCGGGTCACGTCACTCAGGTCGTGTCACTCGGGTCGTGTCACTCAGGTCGTGTCGTGTCACTCGGCTCGTGTCGTGTCACTCGGTCGTGTCACTCGTGTCACTCGTCGTGTCGTGTCACTCGGGTCGGTCGTGTCACTCGGCTCGTGTCACTCGGGTCGTGTCACTCGGGTCGTGTCACTCGGGTCGTGTCACTCGGTCGTGTCGTGTCATCTCTCGTGTCACTCGGTCGTGTCACTCGCTCGTGTCACTCGGGTCGTGTCACTCGGGTCGTGTCACTCAGGTGTCGTGTCACTCGGGTCGTGTCACTCGGGTCGCGTCACTCGGGTCGTGTCACTCGGCGTGTCGTGTCACTCGTCGGTCACTCGGCGGTGGTCGGTCACTCGGGTCGTGTCCCTCCTCGGCGGCGGCGTGATCTTTCAGGACACGTTCAGAGGTTCGGTGAGTCAGACGCGTCGCACCCGAAGCCTCAGAGTCGAGTCACACTGAGCCGATGAAAACAGACCCCGACTCTCACACCGTTTAAACTCACCGACGGAGGAAGAAGAAGAAGAAGAAGAAGAGAGAGAGCGACGATACGATCAGAGAACGAAAGAGAGAGAGAGAGAGAGAGACGACGGAAGAACGAACACGAGACGAAGAGAAGAGAGAGAGAAGGAGGAGAGAGAGACAAGAGACTACGAAAAAAAACTAACATATGGAGAAAACGTGTGAGCGACGATACGATTAAAACGAGAGACGACGGAGAAATAAACACGAAAAGCAGAGAAGGTGTGAGAGAGAGAGAGAGAGAGAGAGAGAGAGGTGACAGACGAAGAGAGGGAGTGAGAGAGAGAGCAGGAGAGGAGGGAAGAAGAGAGGAGTGAGAGAAGAGACGGAGGGGGGAGAGAGAGGCAGGGAGAGAGGAGAAAGAGAAGAGACGACGAAAAAAAATTAACACAAGACTGGAGAAGATGAGTGAGAGAAAGAGAGAAGAGAAGAGAAGAGAAGGAGAGAGAGAGAGAGAGAGGGGTGAGGGAGAGAGAGAAAGAGTGAGAAAGTGAAGGTAAGGGATAAAAAAAGAGATAGACCAGACTGTGGGAGTGAGGGAGGGAAAGAAAGAGAGAAAGAGGGAGGGGTGAAGGTGAGAAAGAGGTTAGTGTGTGACAGAGAGAAATGGAGAGAGAGAGAGGGAGAGAGAGGGAGAAGGTGAGGGAGAGAGAAAGGTTTGTGCAGGATAGAGAGAGAGGGAATAGGGGAGGGAAAGAGAGAGAGAGAAGGGTGGAGAAGGAGTGAAAGTGAGTGAAAGAATGGGGAGAGAGAGGGAGAGAGATGGAGAGAGGGAGGGAGAAGGTGGGAAGGAGAAGGAGAGAGAGAGAGAAGTAAGAGAGAGGGCGAGGGGGTGAGAGGAGAAGGAGAGAAAAAGAGAGAGAGACAGAGAGAGAGGAATGAGAGAGAGGGAGGTAGAAGGTGGGAAAGAGAGAAAGAGAGAGGGGGGGGAGAGAAGGGGAGACAGAGAGAGAGAGAGAGAGAGGAATGAGAGAGAGGGAGGAGCAAGGTGAGAGGAGAAAGAGAGAAAGAGAGAGAGAGAGGTGAGGGTGAGAAAGAGGAGGGAGGAATGAGACAGAGAGAGAAAGAGAGGAATGAGAGAGAGAAAGAGAGGAATGAGAGAAAGAGGGAGAAGGTGAGGGGGGAGGGTGAAGGAGAGAAAGTGAGTGAAAGAAAGGAGAGAGAGAGACAAAGTGAAGGTGAGGGACAAAAAGCGAGAGATGAGTTTGTGTGTGTAAAAGAGAGGGAGAGAGGAGAGAGAAAGAGAGATAGAGAGGAAAGAATAGGATGGAGGGAGGGAGAAGGTGAGAGGAGAAGGAGAGACAGAGAGAGGGAGGAATGAGAGAGAGGGAGGTAGAAGGTGGGAAGGAGAAGGAGAAAGAGAGAGAGAAAGAGAGAGAGAGAGAGAAAGGAATAAGAGAGGGGGAGGGAGAAAGTGAGAGAAGGAGAGATGGAGAGAGAGGAATGAAAGAGAGGGAGGAGCAAGGTGAGAGGAGAAGGAGAGAAAGAGAGAGAGAGGGGGGGTGGAGAGGAAGGAATAGGATGGAGGGAGGGAGAAGGTGAGAGGAGAAGGAGAGAGAGAGAGAGAGAGAGAGAGAGAGAAGAGCGCTCCCTCCTTCCCTCCCTCCTCCCTCCTTCCTCGTTCCTCCCTCCTCCCTCGTTCCTCCCTCCCTCCTCCCTCGTTCCTCCTCCTTCCTTCCTCCTCCCTCGTTCCTCCTCCTTCCTTCCTCCTCCCTCGTTCCTCCCTCCTCCCTCGTTCCTCCTCCTCCCTCGTTCCTCCTCTCCTCGTTCCTCCCTCCTCCTTCCTTCCCTCCTCCCTCGTTCCTCCCTCCTCCCTCGTTCCTCCTCCTCCCTCGTTCCTCCTCCTCCTCCCTCCTCCTCCCTCCTCCCTCGTTCCTCCCTCCTCCCTCGTTCCTCCCTCCTCCCTCCTCCTCCTCCTCCTCCCTCCCCTCCTCCTCCTCCCTCCTCCCTCGTTCCTCCAGCAGAGCGCCCTCACTACATCAGGTCACATCCCAGTGAGAACAGAACTAAATATAACAGTCGACCGAGATAAACGCAGCTCCAGAACGACTCCGACGAGAGGAACGACAAAAACACACGGGAAAGAAAAAAAAAAAACGAAAAGAAAAAGAAAAAGAAAAAGACGAATTCTGGGCAAAAAAATAATAATCACGGTATTTTTCAGAGTAAAAGTCGCAAAAAATGTGAAACGAAGAAGAAAAAAACATGTTTAAGTTGCTTTTTTTTGCCGTTTATTTGTGAAAAAAGTTCTTATATATGTGTGTGGTGAGTACCTGAGCTCGTGTGTGTGTGTGTGTGTGTGTGTGTGTGTGAGTACCTGAGCTCGTGTGTGTGTGAGTGAGCTGAGCTCGTGTGTGTGTGAGTACCTGAGCTCGTGTGTGTGTGGTGAGTACCTGAGCTCGTGTGTGTGTGGTGAGTACCTGAGCTCGTGTGTGTGTGAGTACCTGAGCTCGTGTGTGTGTGATGAGTACCTGAGCTCGTGTGTGTGTGGTGAGTACCTGAGCTCGTGTGTGGTGAGTACCTGAGCTCGGTGGTGGTCCGCTCGTGTGTGTGAGTACCTGAGCTCGTGTGTGCGTGGTGAGTACCTGAGCTCGTGTGTGTGTGGTGAGTACCTGAGCTCGTGTGTGTGGAGTACCTGATGGTGTGAGTCACTGAGTGTGTGTGTGTGAGTACCTGAGCTCGTGTGTGGTCGTGTGGTGATGTCACGGTGTGTGTGGTGAGTACCTGAGCTCGGGTGGTCGCTGGTGTGATGAGTGAGTCATGTTGTGTGTGTGTGTGAGTACCTGAGCTCGGGGTGGTCGCTGTGATGGTCACGGTGTGTGTGGTGAGTACCTGAGCTCGTGGTGGTCGCTGGTGATGGTCACAGTGTGTGTGGTGAGTACCTGAGCTCGGGGTGGTCGCTGGTGATGGTCACGGTGTGTGTGGTGAGTACCTGAGCTCGGGGTGGTCGCTGGTGATGGTCACAGTGTGTGTGAGTGAGTACCTGAGCTCGTGGTGGTCGCTGGTGATGGTCACGGTGTGTGTGGTGAGTACCTGAGCTCGGGGTGGTCGCTGGTGATGGTCACGGTGTGCGCGGTGGTGAACGGGTTCCTCAGCACGTACTCGAGGTACTCCGCGGTGCCCAGGCTGCAGAAGAGCGGGTACTCCGTGGTGATGGCCCGGCTCAGCATGTGGGCGATGCCCTCGGCTTTGCTCTGCTCCACCCCAGGCTCGGGCGCAGCGAGGTACTCCTGCGGGTACAGACGTCAGCATCAACACGCAGCGAGGTACTCCTGCGGGTACAGACGTCAGCATCAACACGGGCACAATACAATCCTCCAGCGAGGTACTCCTGACCCCACGAAGCTGCTCAGTTTAAAGGCCTGTTCATACTTCAGAAGAACAGAAGAGTTTTGTTTTAGACCCAGAACTGAACACAATGACGTCATGTTGTTGGTTCTTGAGGTTTGTTCTCCATATTTCAGCTGAGAAAAACTTTCTTGGTCCTGGTCACATTTTTCTATATCGTTTTTCCACCTTCCAGGTTCTCGCTCAAAACCCTTTACAACAAGGAACCACTCACACATTCACACATTCACACATTCACACACCAATGTACACACACACTGGGGGTGAGGTGGGTTAAGTGTCACTCATGCTCACGTGACTCGGCTCGCGTCACTCGGGTCGCGTCACTCGGCTCGCGTCACTCGGGTCGCGTCACTCGGTTGCGTCACTCGGGTCGCGTCACTCGGGTCGCGGCACTCGGGTCGCGGCACTCGGCTCACGTCACTCGGGTCGCGTCACTCGGGTCGCGACACTCGGGTCGCGTCACTTGGGACGCGTCACTCGGGTCGCGTCACTGGGTCGCGTCACTCGGTTGCGTCACTCGGGTCGCGTCACTCGGTTGCGTCACTCGGCTCACGTCACTCGGGACGCGTCACTCGGGTCGCGTCACTCGGGTCGCGTCACTCGGGTCATGGGTCGCGTCACTTGGGTCATGGGTCACGTCACTCGGCTCGCGTCACTCAGGTCATGGGTCGCGTCACTCGGCTCACGTGACTCAGCTCGCGTCACTCGGCTCGAGTCACTCGGCTCGCGTCACTCGGCTCACGGGTCGCGTCACTCGGGTCATGGGTCGCGTCACTCGGCTCGCGTCACTCGGCTCACGTCACTCGGGTCGCGTCACTCGGCTCATGTCACTCGGCTCGCGTCACTCGGGTCGCGACACTCGGGTCATGGATCGCGTCACTCGGGTCATGGGTCACGTCACTCGGCTCGCGTCACTCAGTTGCGTCACTCGGGTCGTGTCACTCAGGTCATGGTCGCGTCACTCGGGTCGCGTAACTCGGCTCGCGTCATCGGCTCGCGTCATCGGCTCGCGTCACTCGGCTCGCGTCACTCGCGCTCGGCTCGCGTCACTCGGCTTGCGTCACTCGGGTCGTGTCACTCAGGTCATGGGTCGCGTCACTAGCTCACGTGACTCGGCTCGCGTCACTCGCGTCACTCGGCTCGCGTCACTCGGCTCGCGTCACTCGGGTCGTGTCACTCAGGTCATGGGTCGCGTCACTCGGGTCGCGTCACTCGGGTCGTGTCACTCAGGTCATGGGTCGCGTCACTCGGCTCGCGTCACTCGGCTCGCGTCACTCGGGTCGCGTCACTCGGGTCGCGTCACTCGGGTCGCGTCACTCGGGTCACTGGATCGCGTCACTCGGGTCATGGGTCACGTCACTCGGCTCGCGTCACTCAGTTGCGTCACTCGGGTCGTGTCACTCAGGTCATGGGTCGCGTCACTCGGCTCACGTCACTCGGGTCGCGCCACTCGGGTCGCGTCACTCGGGTCGCGTCACTCGGGTCGCGTCACTCGGGTCATGGGTCGCGTCACTCGGGTCATGGGTCATCACTCGGTCGCGTCACTCAGTTGCGTCACTCGGGTCGAGTCACTCGGATCGCGTCACTCGGGTCATGGGTCGCGTCACTCGGCTCGCGTCACTCGGGTCGCGTCACTTGGGTCGCGTCACTCGGGTCGCGTCACTCGGGTCGCGTCACTCGGGTCATGGATCGCATCACTCAGCTCGCGTCACTCAGCTCGAGTCACTCGGCTCGCGTCACTCGGCTCGCGTCACTCGGGTCATGGGTCGCGTCACTCGGGTCGCGTCACTCGGCTCGAGTCACTCGGGTCGCGTCGGGGGCGGGGCAGTTCGGCAGCAGAACATCTCTTGACGTATGAAACGTCGTTGCCCAAACAAACTTTGTTCTTGTTCTTTTCACCTCAAAAAGAAAGTTCTTGCTTTCTTCTGAAGTATGAACAGACCTGGAGGATCTTTGGGGACCGTCCAGAGACACTGGGGAGTCTGGGAAAAAGTGTCCCCAGAACACACAGTTTCATCTCGATACACACAGCTGAGCTTCTTCTACCTCACAGGGACTGTTTTACACGATTTCATGTTTTTTCTGTTTCATAAAGACGTCATAAAACAGAAGTGATGATAAAAGACTTTACGGAGCTTTTAACCTCCCCACATTAAAATTCACACACACGATAATAATAATTTCTAAAAAGCTTCTCTCTACACTTTTCATTCTTCACTCCACACACGGTGCTGGTGAACTGTTGCTGAAGTCACATTTGCCTCGGGGCAGACTGACAAAGGTGAGGCTGACAATCTGCACCTCTGACCCCCGCCGAGCGCCCGACTTTCAAACCAGGCAGGGAGGGTGAAGTGTTGCCTCAGGGCACAACAACAGAACCTGGTCCAGCGGGACGTCAGAGGAGGTGACTCAGGTTTCTACTTAAAAAAACTCTCGTCTCACTTTAAATATCGACAAAACTGTTTCTATGTTTTTTTTACAAATTGTGACAAACCTCAAAACTATCCTGAAGTTCTGATAAAAGAGCAGGAGATTAATCAAGTCGAAATATCTTGGAGTTATTCTGGAACCAAATTGTTATGTTTTTAAAAGCAAATTAAAAAGTTAAACACTATAAAATTAAGAAACTCCCTGAGGACTGAAGCCTCAGGTCAGGTCTAAATGCAGTGATAATTCCTTTTATAATTTTTTTTTTTACTGCAGAACAAGTTGGTCACGGGCTTGTAAATCAGCCCCGAGGCCTCGAGAATCATTTTATAAAAGCCTCTCAAGACCCATGACAAGAAAAGTCGGCTGTTCCACCACTGTCATATTCTGGTGAAGCAGGATTCTAAGTTTTGAAAACCTGATAATGACTGCAAATGTTTGTCTGCTGTTTAAAGATCATTTATGATTCTGCAGGATCCACAAAAGAGCGCAGGATCCACAAACAGGATCCACAAACGCAGGATCCACAAACGTAAGATCCACAAACGCAGGATCCACAAACGCAGGATCCACAAACGTAGGATCCACAAACGCAGGATCCACATTGAGCATTAAAATGTTTGTGTTTCATATGAACTTTGAAGAGGTTTGAAGAAGTGATTTAACAAAAACTTTTAGTATCACAACCACGATTTAGCCTTTATTTTTATTGAACCGTATCAAATTAAATTGAAATATATTGATCAAAAAGCTCAGTGTATCGAGATTGTATCATGGCCTATGTATCGAGGTATCGGGAACTTCCTAATGATCCCCAGTCCTGGTCCACATACGGTAAAATATGAAAATAAGTAAAACAGAAGTATTATATTTGTCCATGCGTAGCTTCCAGTAAATAAGTTCATTAGAATAGTAACAGAATGGGAGGTGTAAACAGTCATACTGGGAGCCTGACGCTGGTGGAGCGTGTCTGGACAAATTGTCTCCAAATTGAATTGCAAAGTAAGAGTGTTGTTGGTGGTTGAGCTGCAGACTCCCGGCGGGCCGAGCTGAGAGGGAGGGAGGTGTGAAGAAGCACGGAAAGGCCACAGCTCAGAGGAAGGATGTGTAAAGAAAATCTGACGCCAAAACCGTTTAAGCAGAGAGAGGAACAATTAACACTACAGCAAAACGGTAACACGTGTCAGACCAGGGCCACACTCTGGAGACTCGCAGCCCGGCACAGAGCGCACGTCCTGGGCTCGCAGCGCCGCAGACACGCGCTCTGTGGAGGAAACTGGAAGAGTGTTTTACTTTTATTTTTTGGATGATATAAAGTGCAGTGTTTCATATTGTAGAACAGAGGTGTTCACACTTTTTCATCATGTGAGTGTGGGCTTCTACCCTGTGTTTTTAAAGTTTCATTCATGTTAATACGCCCTGTAATTTGCCCTGTTACATGCTGTGTATGTTTTTGGACTTTGGAGTGTCAATGGTGAATGTATATGGGACAGATAAGGGGTGTGTCTCCAACCTTTAGCATCTGCCAGTCTGTTATGGGACACGTGTTGGGACAAAAGTGCTGTGTATTTTTCCATAAAGATGTTAACTCAACAGTTATGCTGGTATAAAAGGCACCCAGTGTTTCTGTGCATGAGTGGGGAAACGCCGACCGCGTTGTCGAGGGACGACCGACGCACAGAGAGACGCTGCGTAGGCAAAATCATGCTGAATCAACTTGAATCTTGAGACCTGAATCTGCCTGACTCAAATAAAGAGACATGTGAGACCTGTTCTAACTCTCCAAGCCTCTTTCTTAACATCCTCTGTTCAGGCTGCCTCCAGGAGAAGCTGACATGAGCTACTTACAAAATGACCAAGTCAAAATGATCGACCTAATACAAAGTCAAACAAACTGCACTGAAACACTCTGTGCCCCTTTTTTGGACCCTCCCCCACAGTTTGAGAACCTCTTCTTTAAGAGAACTTCCTCTGGCACTTTACACAAAACTGTGAAAAAAGTGAAGGAAGATTTTTAAACCTGTTTTTTAAAGTTCCAAACTGGAGTTTCATTCTTTTTTCTGGTTTTGCAGTGATATTTACCAGCCTCTGCACGTTTACCAAACCAAACGCACATCGTGACAAACACAGATGCATTTGTCACTTTTGTTAGACAAACTTCAGCCAAATGTGGCAGTAGGTCTGTTCTGTAGATCCGCTCTATGCTGTAGACCTGCTTTGTGCCAACACTGGAACACAAATTTAGACTGGTTTTTGCTTCACGTTTGGTCTTGCTCTTCTAATCAGCCGCACTGTGGGAGGGGCTTGTGTTGGCTGTACGCAGGAAGGAGCGAGAGCGTGAAAAGGCGAGGGGCGGCGTGCTGACGTGAGGCAGGTGGACAGGTAGGATGTTTAGGAAGTTGAACCTGCCCTGTGATGCACGCTGGTACACGAGGGCACACGCTGTCGCAGACGAGCCGTGCATAGGGAGCGTGTGTGTTTGTGATGCGCCGTAGAGTCTCCGCGGGTTTCAAATGAGCGCACAGGCTGCACTGAGACGCCCCACACGCTCCTGCACCCGCTACAAGTTTATTACCAACAGCAGCGGCCGGAATGAAATATGATCACACTTGTTGAGTGTCAGACCTCGAGTGAGAGACAAGACCGAGTCAAAGGGCTCATGTGACGCTGTTTTCTGATCTGTTCTGATGTCGTTTCCTCATCGCAAACAGACCTGGAGCTGTGTTTTGTTTCATTCACATGTTTAACACACAAACCCTGCACATGTAATACAGTGCAATGTCTTGACTCAGTTGTGTCGTCTTAAAGGGATAATTCGGGTTTTTTGACATGAATCTGTATGTAGCATCCCCATGAGCAGTGTCGTGCATCCACACTGACTTACCCGTGAAAGCTTCTGGTGAACCGAGATACCGGCCACTTTCGGTGCTGACGAAAGTCGTCCGGCAAGGTGGCTGGGGACTGTAAAATAAAGTGTTTTTCTTCTCAAAATGACATGTGTTCAAAAGAGTGATACATTTGCATCACAAAACCATGTCGTCCTCCAAAAAGTCAGACCTCATAATCGCTTGGCACTATTTTCTCTCAGTTCGTATCACTGCGCGCTGCCGCCAGGTGACAGCCGCGCCTGGTTCACAGCCTGGAGAATCAAGAGTTCGCACCATTTTTTAGATATATTCTTATGGATCTTATACAAGCTTATATACTTATGGCTCTAGCTCTCACATTATCTCTCTCACGTCGCGGTGGTCTGCACATGTAAACACTGCCAAACAACTGAACAAAGTGATGGATTCGTGCGCGGCTGTCACCTGGCGGCAGCGCAGTGATACGAACGGAGAGAAAATAGTGCCAAGCGATTATGAGGTCTGACTTTTTGGAGGACGATGGTTTTGTGATGCAAACATATCACTCTTTTGAACACATGTCGTTTTGAGAAGAAAAACACTTTATTTTACAGTCCCCAGACAACTTGCCGGACGACTTTCGTCAGCACCGAAAGTGGCCAGTATCTCGGTTGACCAGACGCTTTCGCAGGTAAGTCAGTGTGGATGCACGACACTGCTCATGGGGATGACACACAGACTCATGTCAAAAACAAACCCGAACTATCCCTTTAAGACGACACAACTGAGTCAAGACATTGCACTGTATTACATGTGCAGGGTTTGTGTGTTAAACATGTGAATGAAACAAAACAGCTCCAGGTCTGTTGTGCGACGAGGAAACGACATCAGAACAGATCAGAAAACAGCGTCACACGAGCCCTTTGACTCCACACTCCGTCGCTTCGTTCGCTTCGTTCGCTTCGTTCGCTTCGTTCGCTTCACCACAATCACAAAACTCCCGGTGTGTGTGTTGTTGTTTTTTTTGCCGATCGGGTTAACGTCGAGTTAAACCGGCTCCGGGCCCTCGGGGGGAGGGGAGCGGTGATCTCACTGTTGCCGTGGTAACCTGCCGCTCGGAAACAGGTAAAAGCTCCGAAGACGTCTCCCTCCGGCTGCGGCGACGATGACGAGGAGCTGACGAGGTCCCGGGCCTCATCTCCATGGAGACGTGTGTAGGCCGAGCTGCTTTTGGCTCCGACCCACGACGAAGAGGAGAAGATACGGAACCGGAGACGACAACTCCGCCGCTGCAGCACTCAGGCTTTAAGTTTGGCACTGTGGAACTTTTCTGGAGTCCTGTTTGTTTCCGTGGAGACCTTACAAAACAACCTTACAAAAATAAAAGAGTGCTTCAATATGAATAAACTTTCAGTGAATTTGGGGAAAAAAACTAATAAATTATTGTTGGAAATAGAAAAATCAAGAATCAAATTAATATTTAAGAGTATTTGTTGATAAATTCTTGGGCATTTATAGGTGAAAAACAAATAAATATAATTCAGACAAAGCTAAAATTGTTGCTATAATGAAAAAAATGAAAATACTAATATAAATCTTTTCCTTCCTTTTCCTTCCAGACTTAAACTACCACAGTGGAAATACTTATAAATCAAATATTAATGCAGTTCTTCTACTCCAAAAGAAGGTTATCAGGATTATTAATCGTGCGAATCTCTGAGCACCAACAAATTCTCTTTTTGTTAAACTAAAAGTGCCAGAGTTTTTTGATTTTGTTGACCTGAGTTCAGCCGCAGAGATGCACAAGGTCGAGAATCGTCTGCTCCATCAATTTTGAGTTAAATAGTTCAAAGACGCTTTTAAAATATCAAGCAAAGGAGTAAAAATGTAAATACCAAATTTAAAAAATCAAACAAACAAACAAAAAACATTTAAAATAGATAAAAATGCAATACAATTATTTGTGTAATCATGTAAAATATTTTTGCCTTTGCCTCTTTTATTTTTGTTCCACATCTTTTCAGTTTTGTTTGATGCCGTTTTTATCTTTGATTATGATTCCAACCTTCTCGTTTGTGCTCTTGGACGTGGGTTCATTTCTCATTGGCTCATTCATGTTTGACGGACAGCTGAGTTTGGAGCTCCTGAAGCTGAACGTTTCCTGTTGAAGTTTTGGCGACTGAAAGAGACAAGTTTGTCCAGTACGCTGTTTCAGAAGAAGCGTCCACGAGAGAGCGCTGAATATTAGAAAAGCTCTGATCACCAAAACTTCAGCAGGAAACGTCCACAACAGCTTCAGGAGCTCCAGGCTCAGCTGAAAGGTCAAATCAGAAGGAGAAATAGAACCATCTGATTCATCAACTCCTTCCTGTGTCAAAATATTCGAGCAGAGAGAGTCAGTATAATCTTACAGAACGGGCACTTAAAAAAAAAAATGAAGAAAAAAAACTTAAAAAAAGTGAACTGTATGTCTGTTTGATGGGTGAATGTATGGAACAATCTGAGTGATGATTTTAAAAAAGTCTAAAAGAAAAGCCTTAAAAAAAGGACAGAATAAAGTGTTATTTTGACAAGATTTAGAGCTCATAAGATTAAATTTGTTTGTTTTAATTTATATTTTTCAGTCTTAAGGAGATTGTAATCAAATTTCGTTATTAACAGGAGTAGAAGTCACACAAAACTGGAGGGTTAAAATTTCAGGGTTGTTTTTAATACTAAAAAGTGTTATTTAACTCTAACGAAAGTTAAATGAGGGTTGGAGTTGGGGGTTATTTGCCAGAGTTTATATAGTAGATGTTTAAATTCAACTAAACCAGGTTAGTAGGACTAAATTTAAACCAGGTAAAACAGGACTAAATCCTAAAACCACTTCAAACTTTAACCCTCCAGAGAAAACCAGGTTCTGAAACCAGGTTTTGTTCAGGATTTAACCATCTTAATTTAAACTCAAATAAAAGTGTAAAAGGATAAAAACTAAACCTCTGTGTTTGTTGATTTGAGTTAAAATCAGGACTAACTCTACAAAGGTTAATCTAGGATTTACTCTGACTAAAACAGGTTCAGGACTTTAAAACTCTGGATTTGGTTAAACAGGAACTTTTGGTCCAGGTTGTTACTTCATGAACGGATTTTGACCACAAATGAAACTCTAACTCTACCCGACCAGAGTGACTCAGATAAACACTGAGAAAATGTTAAAATGTGTGTGTGTGTGTGTGTGTAATGTGTTAAACACGTTCACTGTGTAAACATGTATGAATGAAACAAAACAAAACACGACAGCCTCTGTTTGTGTCGAGGAAACGACATTAGAACACAGAAAACAGTGTAGTCTGGACTCTTTAACGTGAGCGGTTCACGCGGTTTAGACGTGACCTGGACGTGACCCGGACGTGACCTGGAGCTCACCGTGACCTGAGGCGTGTGCGTGTGCTCGGTGCCCTCTCTGCGGTGCACGGCGGCCATGCAGCTCAGCTTCCGGCGGCCCTCCTCGCTCTGCTGGGGTCTGAGGAGGTTCGCTCTGATTGGACGATCGACCTGGAGCCTCTGAGCCTGAGCGCTGTTCCTGTCTGTGGACGGAAAACACACACATTAAACACACATCAACACACACAATCACACACATCAACACACACAATCACACATAAAAACACACAAAGACACACAAAGAGAGTCAGGAGTGTGTTTACTCTCTCTGTGTGTTCTGTGTTTGTGCAGGGAGAAGAGGCTGAAGCGGGATTTTTAATCATTTACAACTTACAACATTTACAACTTTCTGGCCATGTTTATATGATGACAGTTTGAACAGAAAACGCAAAAGTGGGGTCGCGTCTTCACTTTTTTATTTCGCGTTTAGTCGAGTGTTTTCAGGAGTAAATCTGCTGCAGACGGTGACGCAAAAGTGTGTGGAATTGGATTGTGTGTGTTTGTACTTAAAGCAACAAGAGCGTCTTTGGACACACAGAAGTTTTCACACATTTTCTTCAGCTCCTCCTTCCACAAAGTCGTCCCACCATCCACCGGTTCTCCAGGTCTCGTCCAGATCCGTCTGACTCGACTGTGACGACCTGGTGCGTCCAGAGTCTGACAGAGGTGATTGCAGATCCTTCTCTGTTCACTAAAAGTGTCTCTGCAGGTTCTTAGGTTTGGTTACTTTGCTTTATTTGTAATCGTAGGTAAATTTGCAGATTTGAGAGGCAGGTCCCCACATTTCACATTTCACTCACTCACATTGATCCAGATTCTCGACATTTGCTGTTTTGCCTCCTGTAAGTTTATTATGAAAGTCCGACGTATGGAAATGATCCGGCATGTTTGTTTCTGTGACCTGAGCACATGTGACCAGAGTTTTGCGTCTTGGGCAGTGTAGACGGAAACACTACGGTGGAGTGTATTCAACTTTTCCACTCTTGAGGGTGGTTTCAGATTTTTGCATTTTTAAGCCCCAAAAACGCTGTCACCATCTAAACGAAAGACACTTACGATAAAATATTTTGTCGTTTTTACCCGTAAGCGTTTTCCCGACCCTTCAACAGAAGGAACTTGTTCACTTCCACTGATTCTACAATTAAAATTTTAAATCGATTTCATGACATAGATACTGTTTTATCATAACGTTAAATTAGGGTGGCCAAGTTTTTCAAAATAAAACACTGGGACATCTCTGGTTTGTGGTGGTTGGTAATAATAAAATAATGAAATGAGGAAAATTGTTCTGCACTGGGCACTAAAATGAGTCAGTATAGTCAAATTTTCTTTGTGTTTATTATAAAAACATTGCTGTAAATGTGCCAAAATAACAGTAAAATACTAATAAATGTAAAAAATTACAAAGACGGCCTTTCCTTGAACTTTGAAAGGTCTCAGTCTTGTCTCGGTCTCGGGACCTCGTGGTCTTGGACTGGTCTTGGTCTAAGTTGGTTTAATCTTAGTTCAGACCTGGTTTAGATCAAATTGGTCAAAATTAGAGACACCAGGGACATTTCTTGGATAAAACTGGGACAAATCAGTGGTTTTGGATAAATCTGTTGGGACAGAGACACAGGATCAAAACTGGGAACGTTAGAGATGTTTACAGATCTACACTAACATCTACATCCTGAAACTGATTTTGAGCTTGAGTCCTGCTCTCACACGACGCAGGGAGGAGGAGGAGGAGGAGGGTTTGATTGACAGCTGCTCCTGCTCCTCCTGTTCTCTTTCAGCTTTGGCCTGTGGCTGTCCCACTTTCCTCTGCTCTCTGTAAAGCGACGCCCACGGCACTCTCCCTCCTCCACCCGCACCCGCTCCTCCTGCACCCACATCCACACCGACACCAGCACCCGCTCCTGCTCCTGCACCTGCACCTGCACCTGCACATACATCAGCCTGCAGGGAGCGCCTGACAGCCTTCACTTACACAGATAAAGTCAGAGAGAGGAGTTCATCTGGAGCGAGCCGTGTGCGGTTTCAGATTAAAGACGGAATATTTTACTTCTATGGAATATTAATCACTAAAACATCACATATTTAGTTTATGATGTTTCCTTTTATTGTTTTGGAAATGCTAAATTAAAGGTTGTATGGAGGATTTTTTTTTGTTTCAAAATGTCAGTGAAAGGTTAAAATACCATTACAGAGACGCAGCAGCTTTGTAATTATGACGACCAAAAAAAAAAGAACGAAAATCTATCAACTGTGGACGTGTTGAGGCCAGATAAACGTCAGCCAATAGAAAACGAGGCTCCCTCATTTTCTATTGGCTGTTGGGTTGTCAATCAAACTCCCTAGTGTAACTGACTCATCGGAGCGCGGGGATTACGTGGTTTACGCAGCGGTTCTTAGAGGCTTTTTTCGAACTGTCGCTTCCTCGCATTTCGCACAAAGTTTGTCGCGACGGCGGACGAGAATCCACGACCGGTTCGCCGCAAAAGAAAGTCGGTTTTTGAGGTCGCTGAAAGAAGAAGAGAAGAGGAAAAGGAGCAAAGCCAAACTGAGGTGATTCTTGGAGATCTCGTCCAGCGATGGCGCGACCGAAGCAGACGAAGGGTCTAAAAACTGACGTGTCGGTCGCTGAATTACTTCTAGACAGGAAACTTCAACAGTGATTCTGAACGCGCACAAGGACTGTCGCTGTATTTCTCTTCCCTTAAAAAAATCCTCTATACAACCTTTAAGACTCCCACCACCAACAAGAGCTGAGAGAACGTGGGACAGCTGGAGACCACACCCAAAAAAAGAACCACTGCACGAAAATAAGAACACAAATATCAAAGAGAAGATTGAAAACACTATTAGATCAAATATCCCAGTGGACACTCTTTTATTTTTATTTGACTTGTGTCCTAGAAACTCACTCACTCAGGACAAACAGCACATGTCTCATATTCTGTCATTGACAAGGAAAATGATCTACGTTCAGACTGCAGGTCTTAACGCTCAGTTTGGATTCTTTTTGGGAAATCCGATTTTTTTTGCGAGGTCGTTCACTTTTGTGACTGATCCAGGTCGTGGACTCTGAGCCTCCGGTCTGGTCCCGGTCTGGTCTCGGTCCCGCTCAGGTCCCTGTCTGGTCTCAGTCACGGTCTGGTCCCAGTCTCAGATCTGATCTCAGTCTCGGTCTGGTCTTGGTCTGGTCTCGGTCTGGTCTCAGTCTGGTCTCGGTCTGGTCTTGGTCGGGTCCCGGTCTGATCTCAGTCCCGGTCTGGTCCCGGTCTGGTCTCGGTCTGGTCTCGGTCTGGTCTTGGTCGGGTCCCGGTCTGATCTCAGTCCCGGTCTGGTCTCGGTCTGGTCTCGGTCTTGGTCTCGGTCTGGTCCCGGTCCCTGGTCCCGGTCTGGTCTCCGGTCTGGTCTCGGTCTGGTCTGGTCTCGGTCTGGTCTCGGTCTGGTCTGGTCCCGGTCTCTGGTCTCGGTCTGGTCGGTCCGGTCTTGGTCGGTCTGGTCTCGGTCTGGTCCCGGTCTGGTCCCGGTCTGGTCCTGGTCGGTCTGGTCCCGGTCTGGTCTCGGTCTGGTCCCGGTCTGGTCTCGGTCTGGTCTCGGTCTGGTCTCGGTCTCAGTCCCGCTCTGGTCCTGGTCTGGTAGTCTAGTCTGGTCCCGGTCTAGTCCTAGTCTGGTCTCAGTCTCAGTCTGGTCCCGGTCTGGTCTCAGTCTTGGTCTGGTCCTGGTCTGGTCCCAGTCTCGGTCTGGTCTCGGTCTCAGATCTGATCTCAGTCTCGGTCTGGTCCCGGTCTGGTCCCGGTCTGGTCTCGGTCTGGTCTCGGTCTGGTCTCGGTCTGGTCTCAGTCCCGCTCTGGTCCTGGTCTGGTAGTCTAGTCTGGTCCCGGTCTGGTCCCAGTCTGGTCTCAGTCTCGGTCTGGTCCCGGTCTCAGATCTGATCTCAGTCTCGGTCTGGTCCCGGTCTGGATCCCGGTCTGGTCTCAGTCTCGATCTCAGTCCCGGTCTGGTCCCGGACCTGGATCAGTCCTGGTTCAATCCGTATGCGGCGCTAAAGTCGCAGTCACATCAACGGGAAACGGTCGTTCTCCATTTTTTCCATTTTTCATTTAAACACAAAATCAAAAACTGAAAAAACAAATCATTATCTGTTCTTTCATTTTGGTTTTGGAGACAAATAATGAAGAAAACTGTTGTTCTTTTTCATTTTCTTATTTTTGGTTTTATATTGAAAAACGAATAAACAAATGACACACGGATTGTGGGCGGAGCCTCGTACAGAACCTCACCTTAGGCGTTTGAATCGGTACCGGGGCAGATTAAGACTGAGGAAAACTTGTGTCGTGTATCTACAGGTTCACACTGAAGCGGCTCGTGATGCTGTAAAGTGTTTCCTCCGAGCTCCGAGCGGCGAGATCGATTCGCGGCTTCGTCAATTCGTTCAATGTCCTCCTCCTTCCTCCCTCATTTCACGCTTTACTGTCCCGTCTAATAAAGCCCACAGGACAAAACGACGTGAAGAAGAAACAGACGATTGGAATACACCTTTAAATGCGCCGTCTCAATGATGAGGGCGAAGAAAATAGAAAATACAAGTCACCTTTACACTAACGCTTCTCTAAATCCACTTTAACCACGTCGGAAGCGGAATTTGAACCTGCAACCTTCAGATCAGGGGGTGAGGTTCTACCTGCTCAGCTCTGACCTGCTCTGATGTTTTTGTTTTTAAAGGATCATGCTCACAAAAAAAAAAAAAAAAAAAAAAAACCTGGGACGTCCTTGGTTTGCGGCGGTCGGTGATAATAAAATTGTTAAACGAGCGTAATTAAGGAAAATTGTTCCGCGCTCGGCTCTAATGTGAGTCAGTATAGTCACATTTTCTTTGTGTTTTGGTCGTTTTGAAGCAGCGTTTCTGTATTTTACTGAAACAAATGACAGTTTTTGCTTCTCTTTAACTCGCATCAAGAATCTCGGACTTCCGGTCATCGTGCAATTCACACTGGGAAGGATTTTCCAAAAAAGTGAGCATCAAACCTCCATGTTTGTTTTCCCAGTGGGACGTGTCTATTGACAAAGTGGATCTTTTCAAGTCTTTTGAACCATGTCACTTTTGTTTCTGGTTCTGATATTGTCATATTTTAGTTTTGGATTCGGACGT